TCTACACCAGAAAAGATTAATTAGACTTTCAAGTTGTAGGTAAAATACCATTCCTCAACTAATGGGATTGGGTGAAACGGAGAACATGAGGACTTAAGAAGAAAGGAACAAAAACTGTTAGGCTGTGAGCATGCAATATATGAGAGAGTAACAGATCTTTTTTTGTAAATTTAGGATTGTATTGGCCTTTTGATACATTGTTTTAGAAATCCTGGTGCATTGTTAACACATTTACCCTGAAACAGCTGCAAGGACTTTCAGTAGTTTGGCATGTTTTTTTCTTAATGTAACTGGAGACAACCTTTCCTATATGAGGCACTATTTCCCTCCAGTTGGGAACATAACTGTAGTTTTAGTTTTAAAAAGAATTTGTGGCTTAAGAACTCTAACAAATCTTGGCATGCTTGAAGTTCATCGTAATTTTACTGTGTATAGAAATCCTTCCAAGGAAAAAGCTTCACAAAGCAAAAAACCCTGGTCTGCCTTTCTCATGTGACTTGTTCATGCCTACATAAAATGACTTAATATCTAGCTTCATGCACTGCTGTTATTTTTCTTTGCTTAGTTCTCTAAATGCTGTTACTTGAGAGAATTGTTTTGCCTATTTGATTCCAGTACAAATAAACCGTGACTTGGAAAACTATCAACAGGAAGTTATCGAGAGTTTTCTGTATGACTGCTATAACTGTGAGCAGAAAATTCATAGTAATACAGAAAACAATCTTCTTTAGGTAACAGTCTCATCTACTGTAGCAAGAAATATTTATTTCTAAGTGGAAGATAATTATGGAGAACACTAAGCTGGCTAGTAGTTTCAGTGTGTATGGAGTATGCCAAAAATGAGTATCTGTAGGAGAGAGGGGGAGGGGAGAAAAAGGTTATGTTCACCACAAAATCTGAAGAAAGATTTTATTATTGGTATCAGTTGATAAACCACACTTGTGTTGAAAATACTGTTTTTGTTTCTAAAAGACCCCTAAACTACTTTCCTAGGATCTGTAGCTGTGAGTTTTGAGTACTTTCAAAACCCAGTTGTGAGGTGATTTGAGGCTAAATGTTCTCAAAACAGTAGTAGGTTAATTTACCAGCAAGAGGCTGGTACAACGTAATGCTAAAAAAATTTAATAGTTTCAGTACAATAAAAGCTTGCTATTACCTGAGCTATTCAGGACATTTTTCATGTTTAATATGATGCCTTGGTTTGGCAATGATAATTACCATTTATTGTTTTGTTACTCTTCCCTTTGCACTCTTTTCCCTTTTTCAACTCTTTCTTTTAACTTACCTCTAATTTTTTTTTTCTAAAAGGACAAGGATAAGGGTGAAGAAAAGACATTTTCTTTTTTTCATCTCTTTTCCTCTTCCAAATAGTGCTCTAATTGTTTGGCTAGAAAATAAAAACATGTGTTTGTTGTTACTGATGTAGGTTTTCAATTTCTATTATGCCATTCCAGTGTATAAAAAAAACGAATCTCAACATTCTTACTAACTAAATATTGGCAGTACTGTCTGTTTGCAGATGCTGGAAGGAGATCTGGAATAGATTATCAACTAGCTTTTAGAAATAAAATAGAGCATGCACCATTAATATTTCATGTAAAAGTGATTTTTTTTTTAATGTTAGTATCTTGAACAACTGAAAAACTTCTTTAGATGTAGAAGTCAAAATGGGAGAATGTCCTGCTTTATCTACTCATTAGAACTACTAATTGATCTACGTGTGCTGAAACAGTCTTAAACTTTATCATACTTTCTTCCAGCTGAACAGCAGTAACAGCAAACCCCTTTTTCTGAAATGCAGCAGAATTTCTTTGTTTGTATAGGGATAACAGTGACATCCTGCTTGCTTGTGAAGAGAAGAGGGGATAGTAAGTCTGAGTTCATTGCATGCCACTTGTGTGCAACTACTTGATTAGCAAATTGAGCTTCCAACATCTTTTTGCTCTCCTAGGAGAAGCGGGTCATTGAGATGGTGCCCTCAAAGCAGTGGATTTCTGAGAATTTAACGTAAAAGAACTCTAAGTTCTAAGAGCTATTTCAAACTGTTGACAGTCTTCATTATGTGTGCTTCAATCAAGTTTTAGGTTGCTCTTTTTTCTTTAAAAGCATTCCAGTGAAACTCTACTTTTTAATTCAGCACTAGACTTGTGCTCTTTTGTTCAGCCTTTGGGCTATTAAAATTTACTTATTGCTGCCTCAGTCAATGTAATACAGTTGTTTTTACTGGTGAATATACATTCATAGACTAGTTGGGCAGTTTACTTCAAAAAATTTAGCCTTACGCTCTTGATTTATATATACCCTCTAGATTATCACTAGCATCAACTGAAACAGTTGTATTTGCTGGAGCTTTGTATACTGTTTGCAAATGACTAAAGGGTATGTCAAGTAAAACAGACTGAAGTTTTGAGGCATATTTCAAGTTTCAGTGAAGTTGAAACAGGTGGGTTTGTGCTGTAAGTTTTTTGGTATTTGAGCTTGACTTCTGTCCTCTGACTCCACGTATTCTAATCTGTTCAGAGTGAATTAGTGAAGTGTCAGATGGCAGTGGTAAAAAGAAACCCTGATGTCCCAAGAAAATAACTGAAATTATTGTTGGTTAAAGAACGGTCACTATTAGGCTTTCTTGCTCAAGTTTGATGTTCTTCGTGCTGTTTGTTGTATCTTCATCAACTCAGCACAAATTGTAGTTTATTTGCCCCTTGCAATATGAATATGTGATAGAACTCTGTGCAAGTCATTGTTACATAATTTTTGATGTGTGTCATTTGCTGAACAATGATTAAGAATTGAGGGAATTTTAAGGGATTAAGATAAAGTGTTTAAGAAACATATCGAATACAGGAAAATACTTTTCATTAATATTACAGTAGCCTTAAGCTTAAAGAAAATGTAAGCCCCTTATATTCTGAATATTGTAATTGTACAATAGGATATTGATTAAGTTTAAACTAGATTAGAGTTATATTTTTAATTATTTCAAACTCTTAAGCTTGTTCTGGATATAGATTCTCTATCCTTAGAAACAATTTCTGAAAAGAGTATAAAGTTAATGCCATACATTCATGACTCTGAGCTAAGGCATAAACTCGAAGCCCACACAACCTTGTAAGTGTGTGTATATATATATATATATATATATATCTCGTCTTACCTTATGGTAAATATTTTAAGTACAGAGTAGATTAACACTTTAAAAAGATTAGAAGTGTTGAAAGTCAGGCTGGCTAGTTCTCCTTGTTAAATCTGCCTGTCTTTCTCAGGCTGTTACCTGGCAGAGAGAAATTGCAGTTTGGGAGCAATGGACAACTGGGAAAATTGGGTCTTTAACTCTTGAAGGGAATACTGAGTTTGAAGAACAACTATATACATACAGACATAATAATTCAGAAAAAACAACTACGTTTCTGTAAATTAATGGAGGTTTTTTTCTAAAAAAACCTGTAGGCATGTTCACCTGGCCAACTACGGTATCATGAAGAGACACTTAGGTTACAACTGAATGATAAAAAGCTAGAGTCCATTAGCCTTTATGGATGAAAACAACATCTGATGAAAGTGGCAAAAATTGTGACTGAATTTTGTGGATGAAGGCCCCTGTGAAAAGAGGTTTCTTGTCTAAATGTGAGATTTTGAGTTGGAAGAAAAATATATCTATAACGGTCAAACCTGACCTGGAAGATTTAAATATCCTTGTGCTAAGAAGAAAAGGAGACTTGCATAATACAAACTTTTTAATCAGAGAAATGGATGTAAACATCTTATTTGACAAATCATTCCTGTTATCTATATGTACAGCATCATTTCTTTTCTGTCAGTGTTTCTTGCTTTTCCTTTTCCTGATATTTGTTCTGTAGCACTTGTTCAGCTCAAATTTATTTGAATTCACCTGTGCTGTTGTAATAGAATTATTAGCTAAAAGTCCTATTATATCGTAATTATCTGCTCTGTATTATACCTTTCAACACATTTTGTATAGTCCAGTAGTCTTTCAAATGGAAGTGAGGGCAGAATTTTTCTTGCAGATTCTACAGCATTTGTGATAAATTGGCCAGAAAGTACAAAGCTTGACCTTGAAATTCTAAGCTGATGTGAAACTCTAACTTAAGTATAAACTGAAGAATTTTGACCTATAACTATTGATTCCATTTAATATGGATATATTGAATATATAGAAAAATTAAATAAAATTTTTGTAGTTGAACCAAATATTTTGATTTACCTGTGCTATGAGACTAGGTTTCCTACATCCAAAACTAGAAGGTGGAGATGAGCATGCAGAAACAGATACTGCAATTGCGTTCTTCAGTACTGTAGATTTCTGACAGCTTATGCAGTATAGGTATGTTTTGACAAATGGGGAGTTAGACGTTGGCATTCAATGAGGAAATAGCTTTATTTTGTGAGTAAATGGGAAATTTGAAATTTGCCAAAGATGTGAAATAATACTTTATATTCCAGTTTTAGGTATAAGTATATTGAAGCTTAGTTTATATTATCTATCATTCCTTTTTAATGTTGCTATTATGCTCTCCTTTATATATAAGTTGGTTAAGTGGTGAGACTCATCCTACACTTGGCATTTATGAACTGACATCTCAAAGATGAGGACCTATATAAGTATGATAATTGACTGTAGTAGCTATCACAGCTAGTCAAAACAGTAGAGTTTACAGTCTAGCAAAAGAGAGGTCAGAAAATCTTAAGTTGAAGCTTTAAAAGTTAATATATAACTTTGTGAATGAGATGAAAAAAAGATTTTAAAATTATTTTAGGACTTTAATAGAATAACTTATTAGTATCCTAGAAAACCTTTACACATGGTAAATTAACAGTTCATAAATACTTTATATGTAAGCATACTCATTTTTCTGGTGTTTTACATGATGTAAAAGCTTTCAAGACGGAAGAATGGAGAAACTTGTTATTTTACTTCTCTTGCCTGTATTGTCTTTTACTTTTGTAAGTAATTAAATCTAATACAAGATTGCTGTTTGCAGATGAAGCAATCTTCAATCAAATCTCAGTTTGCATGTACATATAAAAATGAGTTGAGTGAAATAAAGGGTCAGCATTTCTTCAGCAGTAGCCAAATTCCAACCTGCATACATCCTGCACCAAAGCAACATCTAAAGGCTGGATATCTCACAGGTAAGCTGTAGTAGGATTGAATAAGTAAATTTGATAGTTAATATTTTAAATGTTAAATCAAACAAAGTTTTAGTAAAAATCAAGTATAAATATGTTTTAATTTCTCAATGCCCTGTGTATGCTAGGATCAGTTAAATGTCTTTGCATCAAAATTGTAGTGCTAATGCTTTGAAAATATAAATCTGTTTGAGAAATATGCATTGATGGTATCTTGAGGTAAAAAAAATATGCATTTTACATACATTACATAATGTCTCTTCTAATTTTACCAAAGTAAGCTAAGTGAAATTCGTATTTTTGCCATTTAAAAAAGGAAAAAATGTGTTTTACTCCACTATAAACCATATCATATATATAATTTCTAGGCCCCTTAAACATCTTTTCCAATATCTTAAAGTTACAAATCCACTTCCGTAAGTTAGTTGCTATTACCTGTTTTTCAGCAATGCCATTTTAAATTGGCAGTACACTTACGAATGCATAGCAAATGTAACTGCAATGACCAGCATAGTTTTGTTTTACTTAATAAAGCACTAGTTTTGATAAAAAAAAAAATCACATGACAGTCCTCTGATAAAAAAAGGTTGAATAATCTCAGGTAACTTTTTATTTCTTCACATATGTTTTTGATATTCTTACATGACAGAAGGTATGAATTCATGTCTTGATGTACCAGTGCTTGGACCTATTTCTGAAAATGTTCACCAGACTAGAAGTTATACAGAAATGGGAAAGCTGAGTTGTCAGCCAAGAAACAAGAACTCCAAGAATGAACAGATGGATTCGAATAATGACAAAGTAATCTGTGATAAGGAAAGTGAACCATCTTTGCAAAAAAATGCTAAAAGACCTAGGACTTCAAACAACCCTCAGAAGGAATTGGACAGCAAAATTGGTGGAAAAAGAAACTACAACAAAACTGCAAGCAAGAATAAGTTGATTGCTGGTCAGGCAAAATTAACTCACTTTTTTCGACTGTAGGTTTTTGTTTTGACATACATGGTATTGGTTGAGAAGTTGTAAAATTTTGCAAGAAAAGGGTGAAATTAATTAGTTTATTCTTTTCATACTCAAATAAATTGAAGTAGCTTGTGTGTAATATTAGACAAATACAAGTCTAGATTATGCAGAAGTCTTTTATTTTTTGATAACAGTACATCGTTAGTAATTACATCCGTGTTCTGTTTTGGTAATGAATTATGTTTCCCTCTACAATGTGATGGGAAAGTATTTTTGGATGCATATGTATAGCCACACTAAAACACAGTAACTTCAAATTACGTTAAATTCATAATAAAATGTTTAATCTTCAAAGGAGGTCACGTAGATCAGTAGTTTTCAGACTTGCCAACAAGGTCGATAGACTCTTCCCAGCATACACCTGAGTGCTACAAGAAAAAAAAATCTGAAAGTTTAAATCATCAAAGAACTAGAATTCTTTGTGCCCTCTGGAAATTAATTTAAGAAATGCTTCCTCCCCTGTGCACCTAATCACAACACATGTGAACTGGAATTACATGATTTTATGAGCCCTAGGAAATCCCAAACATGACATGGAGTTTCTAAATGAACCTTTATTGAATTGGTATATAGACATTGCATTATACTTTACCAGAATGAAATAATTTTTGTGTAAAAATGAAAATGTACTTACTGTCAAAATCTCGTCTTCCTATAGGGAATTTAGCTGAATTTTCTTCATCTGCAGTCTCTCTTTCTTGTATTGATTCAATATTTTGAATTTCAGTGTCAGCTGGAAAAGCCATGGCTCCCTTCAGTGCAAGAAAAGGTAGTTGCTTGCTACCTAAGCTGATTGGCATAACATGATTTAAGAAATCACGTCTGGAACCTATGTCCTATTTTAAGAGAAAACAAGAGTAGCAGTTTATCCTTATTTAAAGTCAGTTCTGTTCACTATTTACACTTGACTTTTTATACTTTACACTTAGAATAAGTATTTTATCTTTCATGATTGTATTTTAAAAGAAATGATCTGCATTACATCTTTGTTTGAAATGGTTTTATGGTAAAGAACATGATAAAATAATGAGTCATATATTTGGTGGAATTAAAAATCTGTTAGTGTGTATAGGGACACGCTGAATCAAATATTACTATAGCCTTTTTTACCCACAAGTTTTAGCTACACATAGTTCTGTAAAAATCATAATTCTTTTATTCAACTGACCAAGTTACACATTTAAAATCTTGGAATTAGATATCTGCAGTTGAAAATTTATTCTCGACTATAGAATGCTGAACTGATATTTTTGTATATTCACCAGATTATTGCTTTAAGTTGTACTTGTTTTCTAAAGGATTATAAAGAGAATTTCCATTTTACAATTGAACCAAAATGTAAAACTGACAACTCACCAAAAACTTCATGTTTCTGTCTTCCTCTTCATCCAAAATACTGCTGTCTTCACTCTTATAATGCTTCAGCAAAGGTATAGCTCCTCTGTTTGCAGTTCTAGCTCCATTTCGAAGAGTTTTTCCTAGATTTAATGTGGTTAGCAACATATCTTCATCTTCTACCTTTTGCAGAGATTTTGAAAGTGAGAGTAGAAAACCTTGAGAAAAAAGAGAGAGAGAAAGAATCAACATGTATGATGAGATACACATTCTTAGTTACTTAATGTTTGCGTAGAAGTTAAGCAGTTTTCAGATTTTAAGAAAGCTTTTCCAGTTGTAAATTAATGTTCTCCATCTGTGCCTACTTTATATATTTTACAGATTGAATGGAAACTACTTCAATGGCTGATGAGTTCACTCTTAAAATGACTCGTATTAAGGACTAACCTTTCCTATAATCCTTCTAATCCTGTCTGTTGTTTAGAACTACTTAAACATTTCTTTAGCATGGATAATTTATTTCTTTTTATGTTTTTAGAACAGCACAGATTAGTTCCTTTTGATGTATCAGTATAAAAAAGTTCACAGATAAAGTGATGTCCATTTGTGTTGTTTATAAAGCCTTACCTTCAGGAAAGTCAATTTAAGAGAAGGAACTAATCTACATAAGTAAGCAGAACTGTTTTAAAGGTGTTACCTATCATAGCTTTTTGATCAAAACTGATTCATGAAAGAGATGAGAAGCTTGAAATTTAACAATAGCTTAGACTACCACTGTATTAGAGCTGAGATCATTAATTTGTATTTCGATATCCATTATTTCAGGTTACGTTATTTTAGAGCTTATGTATAAAAATATTAATACCTCCGTAGTTATATTTTTCTGCATTTTTTTCTGAAAATGGACCCTTCCTAGCTACAAACATAATGCAGTCAGATGTGCTTGCTAAGAATGTTGCAAGAAAAGTAAACTTCAGTTTTTCATTTAAAAAGTCTTTGAAGTCTACCTGTTACCCTGTGGAAGGAAAGATAGGAAATTCTGCATAACTTTTTTTTTTACCTTATCTGGAAAGCAAATAGGGCCAGCTCAAATTTAACTAATCTTTTAATGTCAGTGATCCAAACTCCCTATTCATTGGCTGTGTGCTGCTTAGCTGGTTCTTGTCTCTTATATTCATGTTTGTTTTAACCTTTAGGTTAGTGCAGGGAATGAAACATTCTGCTAGTCAAGGCAAACCCCTAGGAAATTGACCAAGAAACTGATTAAGCAGAAAGAGTACCCCCTTGTTTTCCTCCCTTGCTCTCCATTTCGCTTTTCCTGCTTTTTCTCTGTACTGTCATACACTAGGAAAAAAACCAAGGATGTTATGTGGAAGAACTGACCAGCGTTGTTGGAACTGTGATATTTTTGATCACTGTTCACTGCTAAACTTCCTGGAAAAGCAGACTGCCTTGCCAAAGTAACTTCTTGGTAAGAAGTTTCATGGGAAAATATGTCCTGCTGGACTGAGCAGATTTTGATCAAGAGACATTTTGAGTATACCCACTTTTCTCCAAATGAGGAAAGTGCATTTAATCCTTTTCGGGCAGAGCATCTCTGACAAATAGGATTATTGCTCCTCATTCTTTTCATTTCCTTGCTGTAGAGCCTGTACGTGCTTCTGGGCAATTGAAGTGGTTTCTTTTCTTTTACTTTAATTGTCTGGCTACAGAGGAGACAAAATTGAAAGTCATTTGTATATGGTTTTATACTTCTCATCCAACTTTCCTTTGCTAATTTGTATTCTTCCCTCACATTCAATATTTGTACAGTTTTGTTTAATTACTAAAGCAAAAGCCATGTATGCTCTGTAATGGTACTTTTCATTTAGCTCAGCCTAGGCAGAACAGGAAGAGTATTTTGGAGCTGCCATTGGCAGCAAACCTTTCTCTTTCTGTGTTAGTGTATGAATTAAGAGTTGGGGAACAAGCTATTCACCCAGAATTTGTGTATATGGCAAAAGCTTCTGCTTATCGGAAACTATAGTACCCACAGGTATACAGCATATATCACACTTGGCTTGCTTTCAAATGCTTCTCTTTCATTTAATACAAAGCACAACTTTGTTAAAATAAGAACAACTGATCTGGATCAATTGGAAAGTCCAACTACAGGGTCTATTTAGTTGTCTACTGTGTCTATAAGCTGATGTCTATGGACACCAGGGCAAACTTATAATACTGCTGCCAGTATCGTCTAGTGCTTCTTGAACTGACTGTTAATTTTTAAGGATTGTTGAAGATCTAAGGTGGTTCTAGTGATAATTAGTAGAACCTCCTAACTAGACTGCTAAGAAATCAATAGCATATGTATAAATTCAGTGACTTTTCTGCCATTTTAGAGCAGTAGATAACACTCGTACACCTGCAGATTTGCAATGCACTGTGTACATATCTTCCTAATGCTTTTGGGAATCCTAACGCTCTGATGTCTGCATCTTTTCCTTTTCATCTTGAGACTTTAAATTTTATTAAAATGTAAAATGTGTTAAAATACCAGCTTCTATGTTTTGTCATTGTTTATCAAACTGGCTTTTTGCTTTTATAGTAAATAATAACCTAGTGCTGCTTACTCAGCAACAACAATTACTTTGAGAAACTCTTCTTACTTCTACATGGTGTCTTGTTATAATGAAATATGAACTCTTAACATCAGGAATCTTATCTGTTATATGTGAGTAAATAAAATCTAGGTGATAATGTGACAGGAATTTCTCATACTTATTATGAATTTGAAAACCTTTGCAATGCCAGAGAGAGTACTTAAGCAACCTTAACAAATCATTTTATCGAATCTTAAAATGGCACAAAAATCCTTGGTTGATCTTAATTTGCCCTGTAGTGTACTGCTGATTTTTAAAGATGATAGTTTATTTGTTTTTTTTTTTTTTTCAAGTTTGAATCTTGTAAATTTTGTACAAACAGCTGTATTTTGGTCCTTTTTGAGTGCGGTTAGAAGATACTTGTCATTTGAACCAAGAGCCATGCATACTGAAACTTTGGAAGACTGACTTAAAACCAAACCCAAACTCTTCATAGTGTGCTTGGTCACTTGTGTGATCCTTTGGCAGCAGAGGAGGAACTGCAGACTGTCTTTCTCATCCCTGTAGAATGTAAAAGCATGGAGTTATGTGCATGAGACATGTATTTCCAGGGCACTTAAAACATTGGGGTAGTTTTGAGTAATAACATAGCATTTTCTTACCTTGATAAATAGCTGAATGTATCAGATTTTTTGTATTAGGAAAAAAAAATTTGTGGCATTTATTTTATTAAGAGATCCATTTTGACAACAGAGTTAACAGTATACATTGTATATTATGTCAGAGTTAGATGAATCTGTTTTAATTTCTTAGGCATCTTAGGGGTGAAGAAAGACCAGGCCCCATTTCTTTGCAGGCAGATGAGGCGATTCAGCCAAGAAAAAACACAGGAAAGAGCAGGAGGTGCAACTGCAATTTTGAACTTTGAGTACATGGTATCTGGGAGAGGCTGTGAACCTGGCTATCTAGTGGAAGTCTGCTAGAATTCCTGTGATTTCTACTCTTTACCATTGCTGTTCATATGATATTGATAGTGCTGAGGTGAGTCATTTCTTTTTCTTAACTAACACTGAGGCAGGAGAATTTCTTTACAAGTATTGCCTCTTGAAAGTGCTGGACCAATGCTACTGGAACCATTCGTGGATCAAGCCCTCTAAAGGGCAGTGGATACTATTGCTGATACACAATAGTCGTAAGACTGACCATGGCTTGCGTTTGAGAAGAGCAGCAGTTCTTCTATTTGCAACTTTGTATGGAAGGAGTCTAGGTAAGGTAAAGGAATGTCACTCCCAATATTGTCACAGGTCTTATCCATAAATTGTACTGAAGGTGTCTTTGTTCCACGCATGTCAGTACAGATTCTTTTAGTGAGGCGAATTCTCTGAGCCTGTTTGCGTGATGAGAGTTAACCCACTGCTCACATGGGGCTATAAGATGAATGAATCCACAGTTCCTTTTCACAGACCAGTAAATCTGTACTTAGTAAAAATCCAAACACTTGGTTGGTTGTTGCCTGATTTTTGATTATTTTTTTATCAATGTTGGGTTTTTTTTATTTAGTTCTCTTTTTAAATTTCATTCCCTTATAAAAAGAATTGCAGTTTCATCTGAGTGGTTTCTACTAATGTTTCGTTCTTATGACAGAGTATAAGCCTCAGGTTTTAAGAATCTTGTTTCTTGTAAAGAAATAACATTGGTTATGAGTCCACAAAGTATTTTTACACTGCTTTGGATGTGAGGTACATTCTTAAGATATGCTATTTTCTAAGTAATTCTTGAACATGAAGGTCAGAGGTGTTTACAAGAAGGTTTGATGCCTAGAGGGCACAGAAATGCTCTAGTATACTTTTCATGTGATAAGCTGAGTCACATATGTAAGATGTGGGTCTGAGTTTCTTCTCCTGGGTCCTAGCGTGAGGAATCAGTTATCTTTTCATTCTGTTATTGTGAAGTGAAATTCAAACCCTACAAAGGACTCACCTGATATATTCTCTCTTTTGATGCCATACTGGTTCTTAATACTGACTATTCTGCTGTTTACTCCTGCCATTCATATGGTATTAGCAATGTGGTGTTCAGAACCTTTCAATATTTATGATGTCTTAATTACAGCAGTAGGTCATTATTGCAGTGCTTGTGATTGTTATCCAAGATGAGGAGCGGTATTATGATTCAGTGACTATTGTGTCCTTGCAACACTTTTTCTTTACTATTATCTACGCCAGCAATCTAGCCAAATTGTACCTGCTTCTGTTATATCAATTAGTCAGGTCTTTTTCATCCCAAGCATGCGAACCTTGTATTTGATTGAAACACCTGTCTCAGACTCTGAGGAAGAGGAGTTGCAGGCTGTTAATCATACAGTTTCTATGCTGTATTATCTTTATCTGAGACATTGTACTCAAATTACAGCCAGATACTTATAAAAGCTTTCAAGAGTTACTGCACAGAATGACAGTCACACTGGAGATTCCAATGGAAGCTGTCCCGAAGAAATCGCATAAGTTTCTGTACATATTATGTACCTCTATGCCAGCATGCCTTATAATTCCCATAAATGAGGGCCTGTTGGAGTCAGCCAAATTACTCTAGCAGATGCCTGCTTGTTTAGTGTTGACAGTCTGGATGGGTGGATTGTTGTTACCCAGTGCTTTCAGCAAGCTTTGAATAAGTCTATAAATGCTGGTG